AACAATTTTTTATAATATATGATTAAATGTTTTTTCCAAAATGAATAATTCAAATCTTAAATGAATTTTTCAATGGATTAACTTATCTTATAGTAAGAAATTCTTTAGATTTTTAAACATTAAGTGAAATACTTGAAGATATGTTTTACTGAATACAATAGAAATCTAATATTATTTATATCTATTGAATTCATAACATCCACACTAAAAGATAATAATGTTTTTTATGATATCAAATCATTCATCAATTTTCATTATATAGAAATATATTTTTCATTCAATTGAATACAATGTGTCGGAAAATATATATCGATTTAGCACTCGTTTATGTATCAATTGATTGTCTCTTTTAAGTTAAATAAAGGCTTGCAATTGTTTACGGTATATGCTGTATATATATATATATTGTGCTATAGTTAGTGAATATTTTATAAAAATGTATTATTGAATAATTATTATCTGAAAAATGTAAATCATATCAATAACATAGTAATAGCACTTATATAAAGGCCTCGACATGACTTTTCAAGGCTATTATTGTGGGTAAAGTACCCCTCACTTACATAGTCTAAGAGGTGCCGAAATTGTCATTTGTTAGGTATGCGGACAGAGAGTACTTGAGGCTCACTTGAGGCCATCACCACTGTTCTCTACATAACATAATAACTATGGGAACAATGAGGTCTAAGGTTTGATTTGGTAGTTTGTGCCGCCATTCACACCGTTTACTCGTATACACCGTTGCAATGACATCTCAGAATCGAAGAAATGTAGAGTAAGTGAATCTTAAATATAATTTAGTAAAGAGTCAATTGAAAGGTCTGTTGTATAGTTGTTTAGTGACTGCTAGTGTTTGGATGTGTTGTTCATCACAATCACCCACAACGCCAATAAACAGCATCGTTAGGAGTGAGATGTATTGATAGCCTGAAGCCCATCCATAGGAGCACTAAAGAGATGCCAGTATTTGCACCAAAAATGGTTTCTCAAAGAAATGCCGCTCCGCGTGACTATTGATGCCTCAGTTGCCGGCATATAATTAAAAGCGACCGGAGGTGCGAATTATTACTACGACTCCTTATAATAGACTTACATTACCAGCACTGGTATCAAACTAAGGCTATCATACTGGATATAAAGCTCTATCTAAGCATTGCAACAAACAATGTGCACAACAGAGACACACACCTCCAATAAATGCCAAGCCTTGTGAACCACTAAATACTAAACTCATCTTAACTATTATACTCTCTCTCTCTCTCTCTCTCTCTCTCTCTCTCTCTCTCTCTCTCTCTCTCAAACACTCACTCGCTAGTAATTTACGGCTATTTTAAATCCTCTTTTTAAAAGTAAAGTAATATATTTATAAAAATAATTTACTATATTTTCGGAAATAGAGTCTTACAGTTAAATGTAATAAAACACGTTATTTAAGATCCATACGTTTTGAAAAATATTTCATGCGATTGGATATGAATTTATGGTTTATATATATATAATACACAGTAAATATGCGGTATATACTGAATGATAGTAAAACTATTAAATAAAAATTGGGTGCCTTAACATAAAAATATGTTTAAAATATTTCATTCATAAAGTATTGTTATATTTTATTATCATCTCTTGTATACTACTAATAGTAGTGATAATATCGAATCATAAAATATTTTTCACCACAATTTTGATCATATCTTCAACAAAAAAAGATTTAATGCTATCTTTAAATCGAAAAATTCTTTATAAACAACAAAATAACATCAAATCGGATCTCGTTTTTTAATGTTTCTGATAAAAATGCTATCGTTTTCATCATTTATATCGATATAAAGATTGTTGTTTGAGATATATTTCTTTACTCTAATTATCTCTCAAGTTGTTGATGATTGCGATCGTAAACTCTTTAATCTTCATCTCTTGTCTAATATCAGCCAACAATCAGATTTGTATCACTTTTGTGATATATTACTTGTGCTGAGGTGTATGCCTTGGCCTAAGTACTAACCTAACGTTCCCCTCTATTTCATTATAATGTACAACACTTCATAAACATAAATCTCAGTATTTTTTATTTACTATTTTTTATTATATAAATGAGTTTACGCTCTCAGTAAGTAAATTATACTATCAGTTAATAAACAGGTGTATCTTTTTTAAGTAATAATATTTAGAAGACTTCATTACGGCTCATACCTAACCCCCTCCTCCATCAACTTAAAAGCATAGATGTGTTTGCAAATAGAGGGCTCATAGCACAGCAACTCTGGGAGTTTGTAACCCGAGTCACAGCTCCGGTCGGTCACGATATTGCGGTAATACATCAAAAGGCAACACATAGCCTGTTGGCTGCTATGGACCGACATATGCCTCGACTATTAGGTAACTAATTCTCATATTATAATATGATTGTCGATTAGTTGCGGGCAATCATAAACACAGTGATGAACTTATTGCACGACTGCAACTGCTTTTTGCCTATAGATTTGTTATGTCAGCTCATATATGGATGCGCTAACACAACAACAATATTGAATACATAGTCAGTCTATGTTAAGGTACTGGAGGGTCGATCGCTCAATGAGCTGTTTAATGGCACAAATCATTTCATTTAAATACCTTATTTTTGTATCGAATTTGATTAATCAAAAAACTATTGTAAACTGCAATGAAGTTATTATTGAATTTTAAATTTATGTATACAATACATGAGATGCACTTTAGTGTCAAATGTCACCAAATTATTTATAGTGTTTATCTCAGTCTTTAAGATAACATTAAGTTAGCAATACTAGTATGGGAAAGGAAGATATAATTTACATACCAGTCCTATCCTTAAGTATTCACACGACAAACATTCAAGAGTTAAATCACAGAAAATTTCAGTAAAATTAGTAAAAAACCATTTAATGGACCTTTAATTTTATACTCTGTTATATACTGAATGTATTCAAATTCAATTGGTTATCTGAGAAATATGTGATGTTATCATTTTTTTGTGGCCAGTCATCTGTTTAGAGGCCACTCAATAATGTAATAAAATTTAAAAGCATATACGCATATGTGTTTTTAATATGAGACTATTTTTTAGTAAATTTAATATAATTACTATTCGTTATCAATAAATTAGGAGAGAGAGAGAGAGAGAGAGAGAGAGAGAGAGAGAGAGATGCAGACTAATAGTGTTTGAGGAATGAGGTCTGTCTTCGAGATGAAGGCAATGAGGGTCTGACATAAGGGTCTGCCATAAGAAGCTCTCCGACAGCAAAGAGACGCACAATTTGGTACACAATAAATATCTATGACTGAGAAGACTGTAAAAAGCAAACATTGGGTACAAACCCGAGTATCGGATAACACTTACAATAGTAGTGCTGAATGTTGTGACAATTTCGACAATTTATAGCTAACGTGTTGTTTGTATGCCAAACAACTACTATAAAGTAAGTGAGTGAGTAAGAGAAAGAAAGAAAGAAAGAGAGAAAGAAAGAGAGACTAATTTGGTGCCTTTACTTTGTGATGTCTTAACAATAATTTAAGTCTTAAATCACTTGTAGAAAAGTATTTAGACTGAAGAAGTCACATATACTGTATATTATATATATATATATTACAAATATTTTACTTTAGAGAGAGAGAGAGAGAGAGAGAGAGAGAGAGAGAGAGAGAGAGAGAGAGAGAGAGAGAGAGAGAGAGAGAGATAGTTCTTAGTTTTGAAGCAAAATGTCTAATATATTGTATATATACATTGTATATGTTGCTTAACTAATGGCATATCGTATATAATTTGTATAAACTTTATTTAGTATTTAGTAATAGTCTATTGCAATGAAGATTTACTGCCTGATTCATCTCCAGCTATGATCAAAACAAACATTTCTCTTTAGGGGTACACCAAACACACCAAACACACCAAACACCCCAATCACCCAAAGACTGGTATTTTATCTCAAATATATAATTAAATTGTTAGCTATATTTCCAACTATTTATATGATATTAATTGCCACTTATTGCCACAAACTGATACAACACATTATTTTTAAGAAATATGTTTACACAGCAAATGTCTCAACAATTTAATAATAAGTTGTGATATGTTTGAAGCATATGTTTGAAAAACTATATAAATGATTTTTGCATATTTAACATGTATTCATTGTTTTTATGATTATATATTTTTATTATATTTGAATTTCTATTGTATGCAATAATCAACTAAATTTTATGCCTCAAATTATGTTTAAATGTATAGCAAACAAATGGCAAACCTAAACCCATATCGATATTTATCATTTTTATCAGACAAATCGACACTTATATAACGCCCTACATATCAACATTTAATGAGAAATTTAATCTCAATTTATGATAACAATTAGTTTATTTAAATTAATCATAATATCAATTTCTAATATACAAAAAAAAGTATAACAAAATGTAAAAATATAAATAATTGAAATAATGTTTTTTAAAACATAATTTTATGTGGAAAAGTGGGTGCAAAATATAAAAATATAAAAAAATAGAGAATTAGTTGAGGAAAAGGAGCAGATGCTTGGGTTTGGGATTATATATTGAGAAAACCCGTATAACTTATAATGATAATACAAATACTATGTAATAATCATAATAATAATAATAATAGTAATAATAATACAGTGCTTTGTTTTACAGCTCACGCATTGAGACTTTCAATCATTTCTTATGTCAGTTTGAATTGATATTATAAATGGATAAACAAATTAAAGACATTAAAAATCAATGATAATTGTAATCAATTTTGTTTTGAAAATCGCATTTAATATCAATTTAAACTTTAAAATAGTGACCGCAATGACACTGATAATTAAATAATTATGTTATAGACTTGAATTTCAATGGTGTATCATATGATTACTTATTATATAATAGTTATTGGATTGTAATTTAGTAAATGAGTGCTAAACAGCACAGACCTCCAAACGTGTGCAACAAAATTATGTTTGAATGCAATGACTTACCCGAAGACTTCTCACTTCCGTCGATACCATCAAAGGCTTTGGTTGTCATCTGGAAGAGTGCATCGAGAGGTGATGTCAATGCATTGTTTGTACCACTAATGGTCGGACTTTCCGATGAATCACTTTCAGACCTTTCGGATCGCGAGTCGTCGTCAGCCGAACGCGGCCTTCGGTTATGATGTGAAATGCGATCAAAATTATTGATGTGATGGAGAGTATTGTGTTGTGAAGTATCTAAATCCCAGGGCCTAACTATACCACGGGTTTCACTATTAATAATGTCTGTACACATCTTTGGTTTGTGTGATAATATGTCTTTAATAAGGAAAGAAGTCAATGGTTTGTCGCTTTCGTTGACCTCATCTACCGGTGATTCGCGTCGTGGAGTAACTGTTTGTTTCATTATTGACTTGTCTTCGGTATCAGCACCGGACGATTCTTGCATTCGCAATCTTTTATATGGTTTGAAGTAATCTTCATCTAATGAACAGTTTTCTCTCTCATCTCCCGGATCTATGATTGATGAAGGCGTAGATGTGTCCCTATTTAACATTGTATCGCACTTATTGTGATTGTGTCCAACACTGGGCGGTGAATGACTCTTCAAGTGTGACACAACACTAACTGATGTCGAGTTAAGTCCGGTTTCAACACTTGCAATGCTCTGATAGCTGTGATTGGAAGCGTTGGGAGACAACGGTTCGCTAATATCAGGAGATTGTACTGATAGTGGAGAGCGCGGCGATTGCACCGATATTGCCGATGAAGCCGACGAATGGGGCATAACTGAACCAATTTGAATAATTGTCCGCTTACTGGTCAATGTCCATAATATGTATAGATGTTATTGTTGAACACACTTTTTTAATTAGTTTATTTAATATTTCAAACTTTATTTAGTTTATATAACAAACAATTACTCAATTAATTATATCTCTGTTTCAAATAATGCAATGAATTCAATGACTTTTAATGAAACAGAAAATTATGAAAAGCGTTAAACAAGAGATGGCTATTGTTTTTGACAATAAAAGCGCAAACTCTTCTAAATTCTTTGATATCATTCAAGTGTTTATCTCAACTGAAATAACAAATAATTTTTAACTGAACTTATCATTAAATTAAAAAGTTTTATATATGTCTTCAGCTGTTTGTCTTTAGTTTATAATGACAATTGGATTCAATCCAAATGACTTTCTTGTAAAACACGGCTTTAAATCAAACTAATATATGATATATTAATATACTGTACATACAAATAATGGGCACTAATTTAAAGTACACTTCAACACAACAGATATAAACACGACTGTAGTGTTGGACATATGGAAAGACTGCCTTTCAAATAGTTAGCTATAGTTTTGATAGCAATTTCCATGTTATCGGTAAAGACATGGCTAATATGTAAACTGATTCATATTTTTTAAGCACATCCCAAATGCTTAACAAATGGGTGTTTACTTTAGACTAACATGTATTGCCTGAGTACAGACCAACCAGTTTTCCAATGTTTCTACCAGTGCTTACAGCACTCAATTCATCGATTGATAGGCAGGCACTTTATGTTTGAGTCGCCGCCAATTGGGTGTTGTCCTTCATCACAGTACAAGTAATTATCTTTTGACTGTTGAAAATAGGGGAACAGGACTTACATTTAGATGGTTAGGGATGAGAAAATTGAAGATAAACTACCACAAGAGTGATTGCATGCTCTCATATATTTCACTTAACTAACATTAAAATTATGCACAACTACTACAGTACCGACACTAACATTAACAGCACTGTTAACACACAACACAGCCTAACAATCATTATATATATGTATATACTGTACGTGGGATTCAACATGAATTCATTAATTCATTACACAATTGAATAAGACATTAAAATAAGACAAACATAAACATATAGCAATCATATACTTAATGATTCAATCAAAACTAGCCTTTAATATATGCTTATATAAAACACAACAATTTAGCAAAATCTTCATAAATATATTTTCATTAAGTCATACATTAGATGCCAATCGTATGGTATAATAGTAATTACATTATCACTTAAATCAATATATATTCTTTTATTTAATTATTTAATGATTATTTTTCCTAATTTTTATTTTACCACATATTCTATGCCATTATACCATACAAATAATTTATTAAATCTATTATGTAGTCATATAATTGTTATTTTATTATTATTTTTATGCTATTATTTGTCATTAGTGGAGAAGTTAATGTCAAATATTTATAATACTAAACATTTGTAAACAATATTTTATTTAATAATTTTATTATTATTTAATTTCTAAAAGATAATAAATAATATACAATTTTCTGGTAATTTTATATTTTGTTTATTTATGTCAACACAGATGCTGACTATCAAAACACGTTTATATAATAGTCTTGATTTAACATTTATTGTACAATAAAAAAATAAATATACAAATTTTAAATATTGATTTAGACACAAAAAAGTGTTAACACAACAGAAATATAATAATACAATATATAAAAAAAGTTTATAAATAACTTGAATTATGCATAATTTATTGAAAATTTATCAAAAGATATAATGTTTTCAATTGTATGCCTCAAAGGAAGTCCTTTGTATGCCATTTATATATATACTGTACTTCATGTTGTTGTTGTTGTTGTTGTTGTTGTTGTTGTCCACAAATACATTGTGATAATAGAATATTATATATAAAAAACCAACAAATTTAATATAACAATAATTATATTTCTAATATTTAAATAAAATTTTAGTTTAGTCCAATAAAAGCAATCTATTTTTATATTAATTTTAATAATAAAATTTCAACTTTATTTAATGACATAATAAATATTATATTTTATAATTTTAAAATTAATTTATAAAGATATAAATGTGTTTGTAAAATGTCTTTCATAAATATGACACCATTTATTCATTTTTAATTAACTTTTTAGATTTTAGAAAAATGTCTAAAATAATGTAAAATAAATTTTGCAATATTGAAATATAATTCAATAAATTAATTTTATTGAATTATTAGACATTATTTTATTCAAAACACAATGCATTACATCATAATACTAACTAATAATCACTAATCTCATTGATCTTTCAATTCAATTGACTTTCACCTGAAATAAGATTTATGTCTTTTAACTAATATTAAGTGATTGTATGTCTTTATAAAGTGATTGTATTGCCAATGAAATCATATGAAATGTTCACAAATTGGATCCATTGTGTTGAATACAAAAAATAATATTCATCTTAAAAGTCAATGGTATAACTATTGGCCACAAATCCGCCTCTTTTTTCATCTTTTGCAGTCAAAAACTATTTCTTTTGTAATCACAAAGACTTCATAAACCTTTAATGGACTCACAAAAAGAGTGTGTCATACAAGTAGTTGATTTAGTATTGATGTTAGGTTTGCACCGATAGCTTCATATACCAGTGCAGTCGATGAGTGCCCCAAGTCTTAAACTGGGCTTCTCTTTGACAATCCTTTCCGATTGGAGGCACACAATGGGCTCCTGTAGTTCATATACTGTTCATCTATTGTTCATACAGTTTCTTATTGTAAACGTCTCTCTTATTTTTCATATTATTAATGATTTAATGAGCCGTAAAGTGTACTAACGCTTCAATATATGCAGTATATATGTATATACTTACTATATATATATATATTTATATATATATATATATATATATACACTGTATATAAAGTAAATGTTCACACAATTGGTTGGACACATGTAGTGTTGCACACATAGACCGTCATCTATCACCCAAATGACTATTTTAACCACATTTACGTTTCCTGTCGTGTCTTCAAAAGTGTACAAATTTACACCTTAGCCTTCAATTCAATTATAAACTTAACAATTGATTATATAGTTTATAGTATATCTATACAGTCTATAAGCAAATGTCTCGTTTGCTTCACTATTATTGTAGACTTTTGTTACAAAAATCACTAAATCCAGTGCTCGACACACAATATTCTTCATTCATTTTGCAGATATTGCTGAACACGTATTGTACAGATTGTATACTATAAATAACTACTAAGAGTCACACAGTGAGTGAGTGAGTGAGTGAGTGAAAGAGAGAGAGAGAGAGAGAGAGAGAGAGAGAGAGAGAGAGAGAGAGAGAGAGAGAGAGAGAGAGAGAGAGAGAGAGAGATGAAAGAGCATACCATAAAAATTGATGTGAAAGCAGTACTAGAAGTTGACGTCCAAAACGGCAAACTAATTGTAAACTAAAATCTCGTTTAAAGGAAAGCATATTTCAATTGATGTTGTATTAAGCATTGAATTTAACAGTTATATTCATATATTCATTAGCCATCATAAAGAAAGAAACGCTTTGTTGTCTCACATCTCAATCTCAGAGCTATAACCGATGCCAATGAAGAGCCAAATAGAGACTCTTTTTATTGTTTGCGGCATTGCTTTGAGTTAAGAGTGAGAACACTGGTAAGGAATAGTAAGGAATGGTAAGGAATGGTAGGCAATGGTAGGCAATGGTAGGCAATAGTAGTCAATAGAAAGGAAATTAATTTGCAAATCATGTCATATGTGTAGAGCATATCAATTGCTGAACACTATCTCGTTATAGCCGTTCAGTCAAAGCGTGTGACAGACAAGTGATGGGCGCCGTTGTGACTGACATGAGTGTCGTCGACGGCTTAACAATCCCATACAGTCTCTGTTTCACCACTAAAGCACATCTCTGGTCTATTGAGTGACACTTTGGCTTTCAGTGTGCCATAAAAAGACATATCTTTTAAAAACATATCAATATATGATTTTATGTCCACAAAAAATGATACCAACTGAAGAACAGATATTATTAGAGAAGTAGTGGTGAAGTGGGTGTGAGACACAAATCATAGCACCACTCATATGGTGACCGCATGTGAAGTCTTCATCAATTTGTTACTCATTTGCGACCTCTTACTTAAGGTTAATACAACCGAAAGGTCTTCTCATAACTCTTGTAAAGAGCGGTTGAGTCGGAAGGGCTTTGAAATGAAATGAAGCTCAAGAAAGGCATTACTGATCACATATACCGCCACTTCTTTAGTCTTTTGTTAGCCATTAATACCCACACCCTCTGAAAGGACGGACTACTACTTGACTCTATTAACGAGTCGGCATTTTCTGCAAACTTTAAATTATATTTAAAGTCATCGTATGTCAACATTTTTGCTAAATATTTAGACTTCTAATTATTAGTTTTTAATTAGACTTTAAGGGATAGGGAGAGACAAATGGGAGACAACGTCACTGACACACCATTTGGTCTAATAAATTAAAATAAGTGAAGAAAAATATATTTTCAGTCAAACATAACATATCAAACAACTAATGATTTATTTATATAATAATAAAAGTTTTGAGTTGAGATATTTAATTTGTTAATAAAATGTTTGCTTTTGGATTTAACGTTAACTTTTATGGCTATAAAAGGCAATAAAGCCACAGGAGTTTTAGGCTATTTTAATATACTATTTATGGGCGACTTAACTATAACTTTAAGCTCTGAGATAATATATAAATTTATATATATATATATACTGTATATATAATTTATATACAAAAGTGATAGAAAACTTAGTGAAAGTTGTCTCAAAGTTTGTCCATTACTTTAATAGGTTTTGGTGTTAATTTTTGTCAAGAAATTGATCACTTGTGAGACTTTGCATGAATCTAATGGTCAGTTTCACTATTTATTTATCTAATGTCAGCCTTAAATGTGCTTTTCTTCCGTCATACGGTTTAAACTACTGATGAAATAGTAA